AAAGAATGTTGAAATTTTTAAAAGTTATGTCTTATGAAAAGTATATTACTTTTCTTCTTACTGTAAAATACTAGAGTTGGATTTTTAATTTTATCCTTTACTACATGCCAGTTGCTATTGGTGCCGTGGATATTGCAAAGGAAAACATTGAACCCAGCCCATCCCGCTTTAGTAGAGAAAATAAAAGGCCTCTAATAAAATTCTAGTAAAAGACAAGGAAATCCTGTATTACAATGACATGCCACTGTTCTATAGTTTAATAAATATGCACAAAAATGTACCAGTGTCTTATTTTGTAATACTGGGGATAGAACCTAGAGGCTTTCTACCACCGAACTACATCACAGCCTTATTTATTTACTTATTCATGGATGATGGATGGATGGATAGATGGATGGATGAATGACAGAGTCTCACTCAGTTTCCCAGGCTGGCCTTGATTTTGTGATCCTCCTTTTCGAGTTTCCTGAATAGCTAGGATTATAGGCATACACCACTATGCCTGGCTCAGTGGTATATATTTTAACAATTCCAGAAAGATCCAAGGAGTACTGTAATGAAAATCATTTATCACTCAGAATTATCTTTCCTTATGCTATCTCCCTTCCCCCAAAATATATCTAAAGTTTTGGCCTATTATTTGGAATATGTAACACTCGTCAGAATTTTACAAATTGTGTGAAGAATAACCTACTAGTCCATTTCCACCCCAGATGAATATACTTCAGGTCAGTTTGGACACTCATCACCCATAGTTAGTGCAGACCCACAAGTTAAGGGCAGTCTTCCAGATGCCACTGCCAGTGCTAATCACACTTAAGGCATCTCCAGGCTCCACCCTTCTGAGCATCTTGGCCACAAATTTAGAGACTGTTAAGATCCTTGCTAGAACTCAGAAAATTCCTGTATGGTATTAACATTGTAGCTTTAGCTGGGCATGGCAGTGCACACCTGTAACCCCAGCACTTGAGAGACTGAGGCAGGAGGATCAGGAGTTTGAGGCTGTCCTGGGTAAGTTCAAGGCTGGCCTGAACTACATAGGGAGACCCTGACTCAAAAAAAAAACACCAGAAACTAAAAATAAATGAAATTGTAGCTTAATAAAAGATACAACTGAGAAATAGCCAAATGAAGAAACATATGAAAGAAGCAATATGGAGTTGGCATGCTCCTTGTGGAGGCCAGAGCATCACCTTCTGGAGATGTCAAAGTGTTAACTAAAAATCTCTAACAAGGTCCAATGGCCAGTTTTTCCTGGGTTATCATTACATGCACATGATTGATTGAATCATTGGCCAAGTTAATTGAACATGATTTCCCTCTTCATTCCCTTCTCTGGAGGTCAGGCTGGTCCAAAGTATGTGGTTCGGCCCCAACTGCATAAGTCACTTTATGAACATAACACAAGCATTCAACTCACAAAATTTCAAGGGTTTTAGGAGCACCATAACAGAACTAGGTCAAAAGACAGATTTATTCTTTTTTGGTAAATGGGGGTTGGGTACTGGGGCCTGAACCCAAGGTATTTGCCATGAGCTGCATCCCCACTCCTTTTTAATTTTTAATTTTTTTTTTTTTTTTGAGACAGGATCTCTAAGACACTAAGTTGCTGAGACGGGCTCAAAATTTAAATCCCCTGCCTCAGCCTTCCAGAGTGCTGGGACTACAAGTGTGTTTCACCATGCCTTTCATACTGACATTTACTCTTCAAGGGAAAAAAACAAAACTAGCTAAACAATTTAAATATATATTACATTTATACTTCTGTGATTTTAATCACTTAATTATAATATATATAATGGAGACAGCATTTTGGAAGTCAATTTACCTTTTACTATTTGTTTAGAAGTATAAAAACCTGATTTACACAAATTTTCAAGAGCTCATTGGCTTATAAATGAATGTTTATCAGGTAGATGAAGTTTGAGTTTTTGTTTTTCCTGTTGGTATGAACAAAATGTCACTTGATATTGAGGGTGTTAGCTCAGACATTGTACTCAAAAGCTAAGTATAATTGGTTTCCCTTATTGTAGCGTACGGTATCTGTGGTAGTCCTCATGATTGGGGCCCTCTAATGTTTATACATTTATGTAATCCCTTCCTTTTTAGTTTTGCCAGAACCTGTGATTTACCTTTTAACCAATAGAAATATGGCAAAGGTGATGGAATGTCACTCCCACAGCTCACTCTTACTCTTACTCTTCTGGCCTTGAAGACATGAGCTGCCAGATTGTGAACTTTTATGGATAAAGCTAGGTAATAGCAAAGTGTGGATAGCCTCCAGAAGGCTAGGCTGACAAACAGAAAATAAATTCTGCCTTTTATAAATAAATAAACCCTTTAAGTGGGCTCTTCTCCATTCATGCTTCTAGACAGAAATTCATTTGATAGCTTGATTGAAATGATGAGGGCCTAAAGCAGAAAGTATAGGTTGGCTAGGGTCTTGGAAATTAATCTCAAGGAAAAATAAAATAAAAAGATGGAGGGGAAACAGACTAGGCTCAAAAGATTTCTTCAGATTTTTCTATTTGAAGATCATAGTGAAGCTTTCAAATATTTAAATTATGTAGTGTCCCTTTTTGAAGAGAATAATATTAGTTTTGAGTTCTGTTTTAAGTTAAATAGGATAACAAACTATACTTATTGAGGGCGTTATCGAAAGGAAAAGAAAGCATCAATTGACTTTCTACCAAAATTTTGTAAGGAGACTGTCAACATAAAATAACAAGCTAGACATGGTGATACACACCTGTAATCCCAATAGTCTGGGAGACTGAGAAAGGAGTATTGCTAGGGGGCCCCACCTGGGCAGTTTAGCAATTCATTGAGACCCTGTCTCAAAATAAAAATTTTTTAAAGGTCTAGGCATGTACCTCAGTGCAAAGGCCTTAGGCTCACTCCCCAGTACTTTGACGTGAAATGAAATAACAGAAAGCCTTTCCAAAGAAATAAGCTTATTCAGGAACATGCAGAGGATTGCAATCAGGGATAGGCATGCTGTATTGGATGATGAGCACATCTAGGAAGATTGAGAGAAGGGGATCCTTTTAAAGATGAAAAGGAGGAAGTCATGCAGGTTACTTGAAACAAGAGTTCATTGGTTACAAGGGCTTATTGCAGGCAGTAACATGTACTGGCCATTGGTAGGAGAGGGTCTTCATAGAAATGGCTCTGATTGCAAGTGTGGATTAGTAAGGCTACTTGCAATAGTGCTGTTAGGACTGGCTGCTGCTGAAAAGATATCCTCAGAAATGGCCTTAACTAAATAAGAAGGGGAAGAGGGGACAGGGAGGGGCTGGTCAAAAAAGAAAGAAGCAAGATACATCATGTACAGCTACCAATTCTCTATGATGAATGTGATCATTATGTCTATCTAAAAATGTACCAATAAATATTTTGCTTCCAAAAAACAAATGAAAGAAATGGGCTTACCTGCATGCCTGTCCTTTAGGCAGTTTTTGTGATAATTCTTTTTCAGGTAAATATCCATGAAGACCTTCTCTTCATGGTCTTCCAGCTGTTTTATTAAGAGTTTGAGAGAAGTGACTCTCTATTGATTCTGACAGCTTTCACAGATTAACTCCAAATTCTAAATTGTTTCTCTTTTTAAAATTATGGTAAAATATTCTAATGTCAAGTTTACTATCTTAATCATTTTAAGTGTACAGTTCAGTGTTACTAAGTACATTCATATTGCTGGACAACCAATACCACCATCCACCTCTAGTTTTCATCTTCCAAAATGGAAACTCTGTGCCCGTTAAACAGCCTCCCCATTTTCCCTTACCCCAACTCTAGCAACTAATGTTCTACTTTCTGTCTGTGAATCTGAGTAATCTAGGTAAATGGAATCATACAAGGTTTGGCTTTTTATACTACCAAGGTTTATCAGTATGTCCATATGGTAGCATGTGGCAGAATTTCCCTCCTTTTTAAAACAATAATATTCCATTGTGTATATGCATGTTGATGGACACTTTAAAGTTTTAGATTTATTAGTTTAATAAAAACAGTGCTTTGGGCCAAGAACGTAGCTCAGTGGTGTAGCGTCTGCCTGCCTGGCAACTGCAAGGCCCTGAGTTTGAGTCCAAGTACCAAAAAAAACCAAACAAACAAATAAAAAAAGTGCTTTATAGTTGTATCTTTGCATTGATGACATCATTTAATATTTGTGACACGCCCCTGTGATTTGATTTTCTAACTCAGGTCAGTAAACTGTTGGCCAGCCTGTCTGTCTGTGGCATGTGAGCTAAGAATCGTCTTTGCAGATGAACATTTGTACTCATTTTTATGATAGGGTATTAAGTTTGAATCCATTTAAGCAAATTTCTAAGAAAAAAATTTATTCTTATCAATATGCTTGTACTACGAAAAAATACATCCAGCTAATACTACATTTTGAATTTCTGCAATTTAAAAATTATAAAAATCAATTTGCTTTCTTACTATATAAATACTTTATGATAAACTTAACTTTCCCTCTTGGATGATGAAAAGGGAGCAAATATATCTGTCATTATTTGTTGTAAAGAGTGAACTAACAGACTATGTAGACCTGTAGACCATGAAAATACAGATTTGAGTATTAAAAGATGTCATAGTAAAGGTAACCAACCAGTGATAACATTGCTATTATTAATAGATATAACTTAAATTTGCAGAGCATCATATAAGTGATTTATATAAATTTAACATTTCATTCATATACCTGTTTTTCAAAAAATATATCTGATTCTCTAAGGACTCAATTCAACAATTTACTCTCAGTCTTTAATTTTACCTGATATTGAAAGAAATAGTAAATTGACTTTCTGTCTTGATTAAAATATGAAAGATTTGGCGGGGGTGGGGGGGTGGCTCAGTTGGTGAAATGGTTACAAAATATATATGAAGTCAGGGCCAGGGATTTACCTCAGGGATGTATATGAAGTCCTGGTTGTTGAAAAAAAGAAGAGAAAGAAAAAAGAGAAATTTAAAGTCATTTGAAATTTTGCTTCTAGATGCTGTTTGCTACTAATGGGTGTGAGCAAGTTAGATATTCTATACCGGAGACTTCTCCTCACAAAACTTTTTATTAGAGGATGGGGACGGCCAGAAGATCTCAAAAGGTATTTTTTTCTGAATAATTGTTTTGAATTTGTTTTAATGCAGTTATAAAATCCTTTGCTCCCAAATAGAGTGATTGATTGGGAAATTAAACGTTAAATTATTAATTATTTAAAAATTAATTGCTTCCTTTTATCTTTTTTTAGTTATCTCTCAAGTTTTAGCTCATAGCATCAAAAATTGGACTATGTAAAAAATAATTCCCCTCTTTAAGAGTTCTCAAAAACACAGGGCCAGGGATTTAGCTCAGTGGTTCCACCGCCTGCCTCACAAGCCAAGGACCCGAGTTCTATCCCCGTTACCAAAAAAAAGAGTTCTCAAAAACACAAACTAATCAGGCATGGCGACTATAATCCCAACACTCAGAAGACTAAGGTAGGAGGATTGCAAGTTTGAGGCCAGCCAGGGCTACATAGCAATTTTTAGGCCTGCCAAGGCTACACTGTGAGACTTTGTTTTAAAAAAAAAAGAAAAGCATTACGCTGGGCATAGTGACGCCTCTGTAATCCCAGAATTTAGGAGGCTGAGTGAGGCAGGATGCCCTTGCATTTGAGTCCAGCCTGGGCTACAGCCAGTCAGAATTACATGAGACCCTGTCTAAAAAAGAAAAAAATAAAAGAACTACATAAATACAAATTAGGTTTTTTTTAAACTTCAGTAATTATTAAACTGGTTAGTTTCCAGGCACTGACTTTTCTCAAGTAACCTGAATTTGTAATGACTATAAAATTAGAATAAAGCTGGGTGTGTTGGCATTGCCTATAATCCCAGCACTCAGGAGGCTGAGGCAGGAAGATTGCCATGATTTCCAGGCCAGCCTGAACCACATAGCAAGACCCTGTCTCAAACCAAAAACAAAAAAGCCCCAAATAAATGGGATACACTATAGCTCATAGGAAAATCTGAACTTAAGAAAATTAATTTGCTGTATTAGTGCCTTTAATTTTTGTTTGATAAAAATTAAATTTTAATATGGTTTATGAACTGAATTTGCTAATTTTTAATCAGTATTAGTCTCACTAGATAATGAATATAGTAGGTATATAACAGGTGAATGTTTTTCCTTTCTATCTCCTTTCTTATAATAGACTTTTTGAATTCAGGAAGATGATTGGAAACCGAGAAAGATGCCAGAATCTGGTTTCAAGCGATTATCCAGTGTACATTGATAAGGTATTCAAATAGAAGAAATGCAGTTGGAGAACTGTAGGGAACAGGGGAAGGGGACGTTACCAGAACCTCTGCAGTAAGTCCTAGTCTCCTGCGAGCCACGGCAGCACACGGCAAATTACAGGAAAGGTAGAAAAATGAGACTGAGAAGAAGCTGAGCTTTGGGTCTGATCAGTGCTGCTCTGGGTGGCAAAGACAAAAACCCCTAGCTTGCAGCACCTTTTATTCAGTTCATCAGAAGAAACAAATGTCACAAATGAATATGTAGAGTTCAGTACTTCACCTTGGGATAAACAAGGTGTAACAAAAGACTGGGGAGCGGTGGAAGTCTAAGAACAATGAGGAACTAAGCTGACGAAGATTTGATTCCTTCCAGGAACTACAGATTTGATTCCTTCCAGGAACTACGCAGATGAAGATTTGGTTCCTCCCAGGGTGTCTCCTGCAGGTGTGGTCTTGTTCTGGAGCATTACAGCATCATGGGATCACTAAGGTCTCAGTTGTGACCTGAGGCCAAAATGGAATTATGTCTCGGAATGCCATAGCTGGCCTATAGGTGGAAGAACTAGGCCTAATCAAATGATTTTTCCCTAGAATTATGTAGCATTGTTCCCAACAGAGAACTTCTGGTTTAACATAAGTATGTTCCAAGAATAGACTGAATGTTGGAGTATAACAACAAACACTAAAAAATGAGTGTGGTGGATTTTCATGTAATATTTAAAGAATGCTTAACCAGATATTATTAATAAATATATTCATATATACAGTATTTGGGAGAATATTATTTGCCTAAATACAAAGAAGTACTTAGCCTGGATCTTTCTGAGTCTCATTTTTGTATCTGTAAGCTCAAGAAGGTTTAAATAAATTATTCAACATTATAGAATGTAGGTATTAAAGGGGAGTAATCTGGTTGGAGAATTGGCTCATAAAATGATATTTCAAAAAAAACTATTAAAAAACACAAGGGAAAATGTTATGGGATGGAGTTAATTGCTTTGAGAATGGTAGAAGTTCTATAAAATTAGAGAATATGAGAATGTTTTTGAAATGGTTTTGCTTTTTAAGCAACCAGTGGTGTTTCTGCCAGATATTTCTAGGTTAATGTAATTGAATACTTTGAGATATTATAGGAGAAGGGATATAGTGGGAGGACTTCTTACAGCCCTCACTGCCATTCAACCAAAGTCACACTCTCCGTGTGTCTTTTAGGTATTGGATATCTTTAGAAGACTTCCTTTTTCAAAAGATTTCCACTGCTAAAAACAGATTTCATGACTGAAAACCTCTACAGCATAGTATGTATGTCCTGGATTTAGAAGATTTTTCTATTGACTCCAATTTTACTATTTGTATTTTAAAAATATTTCTATTTTCTTTTTTTTTCCATTAAAAACTATAGGTTCAGGGCCAGGGATTTAGCTCAGTGGTTCCAGTGTCTGCCTTGCAAGCTCAAGGTCCCGAGTTCAATCCCTGGTACCAAAAATAATAATAATAATAATAAAGCTTACTAAATAAAAAATCAGTCTCCTTCTGCATTCTTCTGAGTTGCAGGGGGTTTGAGAACACTGCATTCCTATTCATCATTGTAAATTTGTCATCCATGCCATCGTCTGGTGCTGGTGGCACGTATAGAAGTTATATTGCTCAAAAACATTAGGTCCTGGTGTTGGAGAGCCATTAGAGGTAATGCAGTTGGAGTTCCACAGTGATATGGTCTAGACAGAAGACACTGGAAAGGCCCAACGTGGAGCTCTGTGTCCCCTGGCAGGACTTCCCCCTATTAAGGCAAAATGCCTCCGACTTCAATATGAAGACATTTGGTAGGCCACACTCAATGAGCACCTCTTAGTTTTATGTCTCCTGGTAATATTTCCTGTATATACCCCTTTAAATTAATTGTACAGGGTAATTAAAACTTCTTTAAGATTTAAAAAAAAAATCAGTCTCCTTTATGCTAGAAGTGGTGGTTCATGCCTGTAATCCTAGCCACTCCAAAGGCTGTGGCAGGAGGATTACATGTTCTTGCTCAGCCTTGCCAATTGAATGAGACCATGGCTCAAGATTTTTAAAAAAGGATTAGGGCTGTAGCTCAGTGGAAGGGCACTTGTCTAGCATGAGCAAAGCCCTGGATGCAATATTCAGTACAGTAAAAGAAGAAAAAGTCTCCTTTAATGTCTGCCACTTTCTGCCACCTATTTCCACTTCTGTCTCAAGGAGGAATTACTTTTAAGATCTAGGCTCCAGTCATGGTGGCACATGCCTATAGACTTGACTACTTGGGAGGCTGAGGCAGGAGGATTGTGAGTTTAAGGTTGGCCAGGCTATTCATCAAGACCCTATCTCAAAATTAAAGGGCTGATAGTGATGATGCTCAATGATAGAGGCCCTGGGCGCATGCTCTCTCCCTCTCCCTCTCCCTCCCCTCCCTCCCTCCCTCTCTCTCTCTCTCTCTCTCTCTGTCTTTCTCTCTCTTTACTATGTAGTTCACAGTGACCTTGAACTCACTATGTAGCCCAGGCTGGCCTTGAACTGGAAATGATCCTCCTGCCTCAACCTCCCAAGTGCTGGGATTACAGGCATGTGCCACCACGTCTGGCTGAGCTCAGGAAAAAGATTTTGGGATGCATTCTTACAGATCGTCTCTTGATTTTTCAAAGCTTTGATATAATTCACATACCATAAAATTTATCTTTTATCTTTTTTTTTTTTTCCACGGTACTGAGGATTAAACCCAGGACCTTCACACAGAGCTACATCCCCATCTGTTTTTATTTTTTAGTTTGCTAAGTTGCTTAGGCTGGGCTCAAACTTGTGATCCTCCTGCCTCAGGTTCCCATAGTTCTGGAGAATTCACCTTTTCAAAGTATGGTTTCCAAGATGTATAACCATCACTCTTTTCACTAATTGCAGAGCATTTTCATTGCCTCAGAAAGAAACATTATACCCATTGTCTGTTATTTCCTATTGCTGACATTCCCTACTTGCCGACAATCACTAATCTACTTTCTGTTCCTATGGACTCTCCTATTTAAGATAATTTCTTATAAATGGAATCATGCAATATATGGCCTTTTTTGTGTCTGACTTCTTTAACTTAGTATGACTTTAAAAATATTTTAAATATTTTTGTGGTACTGAGAATTGAACCCAGGGCCTCAGACATATTAGGCAAGTGACTATACCAGGGCTACATCTACAACCTTTTTTGAGGGTTTTTTTTTTTTTGTACCCGGGATCAAACCCTAGACCTTTGCGCTTGTGCGGAAGGAAGCAGAACCACTGAGCTAAATCCCCAGCCCAACCCTTTTTAAGTTTTATTTTTAGGTAAGTTTTCACCAAGCTGCTCAGACTGGTCTCAAGTTTGCGATACTCCTGCCTCAGCGATACTCCTGCCTCAGCCCCGAGTGTACTTGAGGTTACAGGTCCATGGCACCACACCCAGCCAGCATGCTATTTTTAGGTTCAGTATTTTGTTCTTTTATATTAATAAATGATATTCCATTGTATGATATGCCATATTTTGTTTTTTAAACAAGACATTTGAGTCCTTTCTACTTGGCTGTTATGAATAGTACTGTTGTGAACATTGTGTACAAGTTTTTGTGTGAACATTCATTCAGTTTTATGTATACCTGAGAGTTTATTAGTTCATACGACAACTCTGCATTTTATTTTTAGTGCCTATTAACTTAAAAAATACTGAATTTCAATATGGTGTTCCATGCCTGCATATATTTTGATCATATGCATCTCCTCTATTACTCTCCCTTATACCCCTTTTCTTTCCCTCTTGGTCTGTTCCTTCTATTTGTTAAGTTTCCCTTCTATTTTCATGACATCTTTTTTTTAGATTCCACATACTAGGGAATACTTGTCTTTCTGTGTCTGGCTTTTTTTGCTTAACATGATACTCTCCAAACCTATCCATTTTCTTGCAAATGACATAATTTTATTCCTTAGAGCTGAATAATACTCCGCTGTGTATGTGTACCACTTTTTTTTTCAATCTATTCATCTATTAATGTGTAGGCTGGTTCCATATCTTGGTTATTGTGAATTGTGACAAAAATAAAAATGGATATGGAGGTGTCTCTACAGTATGTTGGCTTTAATTTTTTCTGGTATATATGAAGGAATGGTATATCAGGTCATATAGTAGTTCTGTTTTTGGTTTTCTGAGAAACTTCCATACTGATTTCTACAGTGGCTGTACTAATTTACAATCCTACCAGAAGTGTAGAAGGGTTCCTTTTTCTACACCTCTTCACCAGCATTTATTGTTTTTTCTATTCTTGATAATAGCCATTCTGATTGTGATGAGATGAAATCTCAGTGTAATTTTGGCTTGCATTTCCCTAATGGTTAAAAACGTTGAACATTTTTTCATATGCTTGTTTGCCATTTGTACATCTTTTGAGAAGTATCCTGTTCAATTGCTCATTTATTGATTGGGCTATTTGATTTTCTGGTGTTAAGTTTTTTATGTTTGCCATTTGTACATCTTTTGAGAAGTATCTATTCTGTTCACTTGCTCATTTATTGATTGGGCTATTTGATTGTCTGGTGTTAAGTTTTTTATGTATATATTCTAGATATTAATCATCTGTTGGAAGAGTAGTGACAAAGATTTTCTCCTATTCTGGAGGCTACCTCTTCTTTAATTGTTCCCTTGCTGTGCAAAATTTTTAAGTTGATGTAGTCCCATTTGTTGATTCATGGTATTATTTCCTGTGCTATTAAAGCCCTATTCAGGAAGTCTTTGCCTGTGCCTATGGCTTCAAGTGTTTCCATTGTTTTCTTCTAGCATTTTCAAAGGTTCAGGTCTTACACCTACGTCTTTGATCCATTTCTGAATTGAAGGATCTAGTTTCAATCTTCTACAAGTGAATATCCACTTTTCCCAGCACCATTTAAAGTCTCTTTTCTCCAGAGTATGTTTTTGGTGTCTTGGGCTGGGGATTTAGCTCAGTGGTTCCACTGCCTGCCGCGCAAGTGCAAGGTCCCAAGTTCAATCCCCGGTACCAAAAAAAAAAAAAAAAAAAAGCTGTTCTTGGTGTCTTGTCAAAAATAAGATGCCTGTGGGGCCTGGGGACTTAGCTCAGTGGCACTGCGCGCCTGGCTGGCAAGCACAAGGTCCTGAGTTTGATCCCCAGTAGAGGAAAAAAAAAAATCAGATGGGTGTAGTTGTGTGGATTTTTGTGCCTTCTATTTTGTTCCATTGGTCTATATCTACTTTTGTACCAGTACCATACTATTTTTTTTTTTTTGGTACCAGGGATCGAACTTTGGTCTTGTGCTTGCAGAGGCAGGCGCCAGAACTACTGAGTTAAATCCCCGGCCCCAGTACCATACTATTTTTGTTACTGTGGCTTTGTAGTATAATTTGAAATCAAATATTGTCTGTTATGCCTCTGCCTTGCTCTTTTTGCTTAGGAGTGCTTTGGCTATTCTGGGTTGTGTTTCCATATGAATTTTAAGATTTTTTTTTTTCTAGTTTTGTGAAGAATGTCATTGGAATTTTGATGGGAATTGCCCTTTTGGTAATAGGGCCATTTTAACAATATTGATTGTGCTGATTCATGAACATGGGAAGTCCTTCCATTTTCTATTGTCTTCAGTTTCTTCAGTGTTCTGTAATTTTCATTGTAGAGGTCCTTTACCACCTTGATTAGGTTGATCCCTAGGTACATTTTATTTCTATTGTAAATGGAATTGTTTTCCTGATTTGAGCTATTTTATGATTGGTATATAGAAAAATTATTGATTTTTAAAATGTTGATATAGTATATTTAACTGTTTTTCCCCAAGTACTTAGAATTGAACTCAGGACTATCACATTGAGTAATATCCTCTGGCTTTTTTCAATTTTTTATTTTAAGACATGGTCTTAGGCCAGGAATTTAGCTCAGTGGTTCTGCTGCCTGCCTTGCAAGCACAAGGACCTGAGTTCGATCAAAACAAAAACAAAAACAAAACACATGGTCTCACTGAGCTGCCATGTGCCCAGGTAGGTCTCAAACTTGCTGTCTTGCCTAAGCTTCCCAGCATTTGTCAGTTATAGGCAGTGGCCACCTGGTTTATATTTACTCTTTAAGAAAATATAGAAAACTGTTTTCCCTAGTTTCTGCACCCAAGACATTCATGGTGGTGCACACCTGTGAGCCCAGCACTCAGGAGGCTGAGGCAGGAGGATTGCTGTGAGTTCAGGGCCAGCCTGGGGTACATAGTGAGTTCAAGGCCCGTCTAAACTATACAGTGAGGGGCCAGGGATTTAGCTCAGTGGTTCCGCTGCCTGCCTCACAAGCACAAGGTCCTGAGTTCAATCCCCTGTACCAAAAGAAATTTAAAAATAAATTAAAAATAAACTATACAGTGAGAATTTGTCTCAAAAAAAAAAATGGCCAGGGATTTAGCTCACTGGCACCACACCTGCTTTGCAAGTGCCAGGTCCTGAGTTTGATCCCTGGTACCGCAAAAAAAAAGTGACTAACCCATTTTACATTCCCATCAACCGTACCACTTTTGCCGCCAGTTTTGCCACATTCTTACCAGTATTTGGGAGTAATTCACAAATGTATTTCATTGTGGTTTTGACTTGAATTTTTATAATAACTGATGTTGAACATCTTTTCATGCGAATACTGGTTATTTGTAAGTCTTCCTTAGTGAAGCAGTTTTTCAAATCCTTCACTCTTGAAAGGGGTTACTTACCTTTTTAATGTTGAGTTGTATCTTAGTTGTTCAATGTATATTATTGTATATCATGTGACTCTTAAGTTTTTTCTTATACCAGCTCTAGTAACACTTTTGTTGAATTATATTCCCTTTCATATTAGTTTGTTCAGTCTCATTAATTAGTAATTAATTTGTGTTGCTCTTTTATCTAATAGTTTATTCTGAAATATATACAAAGAAAACTTTAAAACTATACTAAGGCAATAGGCATGGTGACACACACCTGTAACCCCAGGACTTGGGAAGCTGAAACAGGAGGATTTCCTCAAGTTCAAGGCCAACCTGAACTGCATTGTGAGACCTTGTCTCAAAAAAAAAAAAACCTAAAGCATAAAAATGACTAAAATGGAAAGACTTCTTAGATAAAAAATTTAATACCAATGTTAGGTCTCCTTAAGCATTTTTTAAAATGCAGTACAGGGCCAGGGATTTAGCTCAGCGGTTTCGCTGCCTGCTGCACAAGCGCAAGGACCCAAGTTTGATCCCCGGTACCAAAAAAAAAAATGCAGTACAATTCCAATTAAAGTATTTAATTTAGAATTTCGATCCATGTAAGTATCTTAAAATTATTTTGGAAAAATAGAATACAGTTAGATCAGGAGCACTCTTAAAAGGAAGATTAAGGAGAGACTAGTTCACTAATATATCAATGAGTATTACAAAGCCATAGTTATCACTATACCATAATATTGGTGCAGAAATATAGGCTATTAAAATCTAATAAAGTGTTTCAAATAAATTGCAAAAATTTATGGAAATTCAATAAATGATGTAGTATTCTAAGTCATTTGCATATGCATTTTAAAATAAAAGACATTGGCACAACTAGCTATAATTTGTGTTTTTAAAAATGCTAGATGGAGCCGGGGATTTAGCTCAGTGGTTTCATTGCCTGCTGCGCAAGCACAAGGACCTGAGTTCGATCCCTGGTACCAAAAAAAAAAAAATGCTAGATGTAGTTTAGTGGTAAAGTGTTGGCCTAACATGTGTGAAGCCCTATGTTCAATCCTAAACACAACCGAAAAAAGTTGCTAAAGTTAATTTTATAGACACAAAACCAGAAACTAATGGATGTTTGTTTCTGACTTTAATGAAAATATGTGGTACTTTTCTGCTACTTGTACTTCAGTTTTTACTGTTGGCTTGATTTTTTAAAAATTTCTACTATATTTGAGGGGAAAATAAGTTTAGGTACTGAATGTTAGCTAATTTCCATTTTTCCTTATTTAACATGTTGACATATGACTCATTACCTCAATAGGTTGCCAGTACTGAACCACTATAATATATTCAATATCAACTCTTATTTGATTGTGGTAAATTATTATAATTTCTAAATTCTTCTTATGATTATATTGTTGAATTCTTTTAACTAGTATTTTATTTTGAGTTATTGTTGTCAGTGTATGAATGAGATTTATTATTTTCCCAACTAGGCTATAGTAAAAGATATAGAAAGAAAATAAATGTGTAGTAACAATGTCTTTTGAAAAGCAGAGTAGAGCTAAAAGGAAATATAGTAAGCCCTGGAGAAAGTTAATTCAGTAGAACCTTTTTATTATAAAAACATCCATGGTAGACCAAGATATAGTCTACTTGCATACATCTTCATTTTTCCTTTCTTTTAGATTGAAGAGCAGTCAGACTGTAAGATCCTAGATGGACACTTTGTCTCCCCAATGGCCCATTATGTACCTGATATCATGCCAATTGAATCTGTTATTGCAAGGTAAGAATTTTTGAGAAAGATAAATGAATAAGCTAATTGTGTTCATTAAAGTCTTATCAACACCAAGGGCTGGGGATTTAGCTCAGTGGCACTGCACCTGCCTCGCAAGTACTAAGTCCTGAGTTCAATCCCTGGTAACTGAAAAGAGTCATATCAACACCATATTATTTTAACACTGTGTTACTTCAAATCATTTAGTAATGAGGCAAATCTAAATTACTGGAAAGACTGAATCTAGAAGCTATTTTAATTCTTGTAAGAACACACAGTAATGGGCTGGGTGTGGTGGCGCAAGGCTATAATCCCAGCACTTAGGAGGCCAAGGTAAAAGGATCCTTGTGAGTTTGAGGCCAGCCTGGGCTCCTCAGTGAGTTCAAGGCCAGCCTCAACTACTTAGTGAGACCTTATCTCAAAAAAAAAAAAAAAAAAAAAGAGTACAGAGTAGTATGTATACAAGTATGCTTATCGAAGCCTTGTGTTTTTTTTTTTTTGGTACCGGGGATTGAACTCAGGTCCTTGCGCTTGCGAGGCAGGCAGCGGAACCACTGAACTAAATCCCCGGCCCTCGAAGCATTGTTTATAGTTGCAAAAAAATAGTAGTGCCCTAAATGTTCAGCAACAGGAGATTAATTATTCATATAATGGACACAGTTACTGACATGGCAATATGGTCACACCATATGAATGCCTTAGTTACTTTCCTATTGCTGAGACAAAATACCTGACACCCATAAGTTAAAAGAGGAAAGATTTATTACAGCTTACAATTGGTAGAGGTTTCGGTCCATAATTGGCGGGCTTGAAGGTGGAGGGACATTGCAAAAGAGAAAGCATCCATGGCATGGCGAGCAGAAGGCAGTGTAGCAGCAGCAGTGAAGAAGCAGCAAAAGCAGCAGCCAGTGAAGCAAGCCTCCCTTTCTCTTTTATCTCATCCAGGGTACAAGCCTTTGTACCACCCCTGCTCAGATTGGGCCTTTCCATTATGCACACCCAGAACTATGCTAAACCAATCAGTGAACTAATTTAGTACCACACACCCTTAATCCTAGTATCACATACCCTAGATCCAGCCACCTCCAAAAAGTACCACCTATGAGCTCATGCAGCTTTGGGGGAACATCTTGATAAAGCCACAACAATGAAAATATAAGAAGGTAATAAAAATGATTGTTTAATTCCACTTTTATAAATACAAGCACATGCCACTATCACACAAAAATTTCTAGAATATATATATATTAATGTGCCAACCCTGATTATCTCCAAGTGGATTTTGGCTTTTGAAATTGCAGTCTTAAATTTGTAGTGTTCATAAATTTCCTATGATAGGAAGAAAAATATTTTTAATTGAATAAATTAAAGAGTACAGTAACTTAGACTAGATAGACTAAGTAAAGCTCAGGATAGTTTGCAATTAGCATATCAGTTTGTGAATGTAAATGAACATTCCAAGAATATGCAAGGTTTTTTTAATAAAATAATTTTGTCACAAACAATTCTCCTTAGCTTTTTGCCTTAAGTTTTTTTTTTCTACCTGAATTTTAAAATTTTTAAAATTATTTTTATTGGTACATTTTAGATGCACATGATATATCTTGACTCTTTTTTTCTCATTCCCCTCCCTTCCCGTCAACTTCTCTTCCCTTCCTTATTTACAAAAGTTGTTTCCATTTTTTCCTTCTGTTCTCTTCTTTTTTCCTTTTGATACCCAAGGTTTTTAACTCAGTAATCATACCATGGTTGAAACTTAGCTTTTTTGGATCTTCTTTATATGATTAGTGCAGTACTTAGATTCTCAAACTTGATTCTTTCCACAATTTGGTTGCAAACCTAACTGGACAAGAACCAAATCAAATTCAGTGGTTAGGTTCAGTGTTGACCTTATTTGAGAATTTGATTTGGTTTTCTTCCAGTTTGGTTTGCTACCAGAATCGTGGAGAGAATTGAGTTTGTGAAACAAGATACCATGTAATGTGCCTTGTTGAAACTTTAGTCACAGAGTACAGAGGTCAGTTTTACTCCAGTCTTGTTAATGGATTTTTAAAATTGTTTTAAATTCTAAATCATGGTTGAAGCTAAGTCTTTCCTTCTATTTTATACTTTACCTAATTCTGTTTACTTAAAAGGAACAAGGTACTTTATTATTTTCCTCTGCATTGTTGATAATAAACCATTTGCTGCTTCTGGTAAGTGGTTTCTCCTGTAAAGTTTTTGTTTGCAATAGCAATGGTGCATATATGTGTATAGGTGAAAATCCTTCATTCAGAAAGCTTTTATTCTGTAATGGAAATGGAAACCTACCTGAGCTTTATGTGGGTTACATTGGAATCCTAAATAAATTCCAGTTTATTCCAAGAAATTCATAACCTAATAAATGAATCTATATAGTGAATTAATGGAAAATCAGTTTTAAGTATTATATTCAGTTATTATTTCATTATCTCTCAAGTAGTATTTGAAATGTTTTTCTTTTAATAACTTCAAAGTAAAATGCAAGCAGTATTATATAGTGGAAAAAACCAGAACTTTGGAATTAAACAAATCTGCAATTGAACTCTGACTATACTACATATTGACCTTAAGATTTTTGGTCAGTTAATCTCAGTACATGCCTGTAATCCCAGTACTCAGGAGGCTGAGGCAGGAGGATCACCATGAGTTCAAGGCGGGCCGGGATTTGGCTCAGTGGTGTTGCCGCCTACCTTGCAAGTGCAAGATCCCGAGTTTAATCCCAGGTACCAAAAAAAAAATTTTTTTTTTTAAATGTGCTCAAGGGGCCGGGTATTTTAGCTCAGTGATTTCAACGCCTGCTACACAGGCGCAAGGACCCAAGTTCAATCCCCGGTACCCCCCGCCCCAAAATGTGCTCGCTTTGGCAGCACATGTACTAAAATTGGAACGATACAGAGAAGATTAGCATGGCCCTTGTGCAAGGATGACATGCAAATTCGGGAAGAGTTCAAGGCCCGCCTAAACTACATAGCCAGACCCTGTCTCAAAAACAAAAAAAATTATAAACAAATAAAACCAAAAAGCTCCATAATAAACCTGAAAGCATAATATATGAATGATCTATATTTTGCTAGTTCATATATTTATTTTTACAGTGCTGGAAATCAAACCCAAAGTGTTGTGTATCTTATGCAAGTGCTCTCCTTCTGAGCTACATCCCCAGTCCAGCTACACTTTGTTATTTAAATAATATATTTGGTACAATTTTGAATGTAGAATAAAATCAACATGCTTAAGAACAACTTTAATGCTAAAAATAAGAATTGCTTGAGGGCCAGGGATTTAGCTCAGTGGTGCCGCACCTGCCTGGCAAGTGCAAGGTCCTGAGTTCCACCCCGGATTCCAGGGGGGGAAAAAAAAAAAAGTATTTCTGGTTTTATTATGTAGCACACACACATTTTATAAATGGAGTAAGTTTTTATAAAAGCCAAAAGCATTTTATTTAAAAGTATGCATAATTTAAAATGAGTGCATTATATCTACCTTTTTGAAAAACCTAAACTCAATTATGTAAAAATTATTTTTGACACTCAGAACCTTACACTTGTGAGGCAGGTGGTGGCACCACTGAGCTAAATTCCCAGCCCTGAAAAATGAAATTCTTTTCTTTTCTTTTAAAATTTGTATATTTATTGGTACATTTTAGGTATACAATACGTTTACATTTGTCATTGGGCGTTTGTACCTGTACATGATGTATCTTAGCTCTTATTTTTCCCCCATTACCTATGTGCCCTTCACCCCGTCCACCCTTCCCTATTTACATAGACTTTTATTCCATTTTTTTTTCTTTCTCATAGTTTTTCCTTTCCCTTCTTCCCTTTCCCCTTCCTCTCCCGCCACCCCCAAACCTTTGGACCTTTTCCTATTTCAAATTATCAGTTATTCATTTTAATCATTTTCATCCTTATTTACACTTTCAGTTTCTTACACTAGAGAAACTATTTGATGATTTTTTTTATATAAAAGGGAGTACTACTCAGCCATAAAGAATGAGAAACTAGAGACATTTATAGCTAAATGGATGCATATTGAGGCCATACTCTTAAGTGAAAAATAAAATTCTTATAAAGTACACATAAACTATCTCTGGAGGAATACAGCCATTTTACCAGAAAACAAACATTAAATTTGCCCTTTTATTGGAATTCAATTTTTGATAAAATTTGCTCAAATTAAGGCTGTTTAAAATTATTGTGGTTCATTTGGAATTTTGACGTGTACATTTCCACTTTGCGATATCCGTAAGAACCAGGGATTTAGCTCAGTGGTACCACCGCCCGCCTCGCAAGTGCAAGGTCCTGAGTTCAGTCCCCAGTACCAAAAAAAAGAGAGATATCCATAAGATACATAACATTTCATTTCACATTACATGCAGAAATCCTGTTTTGTGGTAAATACTCTGATAAATCTTCCTACCTCAGTCTCCCAAATCGTAGGATTACAGGGATATGCTATCATACCTAGCTCTCTTTTTGCAAAGAATATAGCTTATTACACAGAGTGGAAAAAGCAGTATTTATAATTTAATAGATATTATTT